TGTTAAAGTTTTTCAATTTTAATAAACTATTACTGTCTCCATGACACATCAGTTTACATAAAAATATCTGATTTCACACAGACTGAATCATATGTAATTATCAAAACCTTAGAATAATAAGAGTAGGTTAAAGTTTTTCAATTTTAATAAACTATTACTGTCTTCATGAAACTCAGTTTACCTAAAAATATCTGATTTCACACAGACTGAATCATATGTAATTATCAAAACCTTAGAATAATCGTTGGAATTTGAATTATCTACCGAAAAGCATTAAATTAACTCTAAATGTTAAGAGGTGTTAAATTTTAACAAAGTCTTTATGATGAAGAAATATAGTTACTATGTTCTGAAATTCAAGCACTGTAACAAAAATTATAGTTTGAATAAAATTCAGTTTTCCAAAAAACAATTCAGACTAAGTTTAAGTAGCCTAAAATGTCTCAAGTCACAGGATCTACCTTGCTAGTTTCACAGATTTTTTATTGGTTTAACTTGTAAATTGAAAAACTTGCTTATCACATAATTCTTTTTCAAAAAAATCATTAAAACTCTGCAGCAACAAATACATTCCTTCTTTTATAAATGATACTTGTAATTTTAAATACAATAACTTAAATGTTTAGTGATAAATTTTTTGATCACAGTTTCAGTACTTTAAAAAAATTAGTAAACAAAAAAGTTGTTTAGTTGGAAAACTTAGCATGTTTTGATTAAAGTGTCAGTGATTTGTGTGTACAAAGAAACACAGCTCAAGATCACTTCTTATTTTATTTAATCTGAATACTACAAATATTTCAGTTTTTTTAATGTATAGTGGCATATAATTTGAAATGCAATATTTTAAGTTGTTTCATCTAAGTACCACAAGTATCTTGGTAAAAGTTTAAGTATTTTGAGAATTGAGTGACATAGTTTTAAATAAAACACATTACCTTGTTTAGTCTGCGTACTGACAAATGTTTTGATCAGAGTGTCAGTAGTCTGCGTATACAGTGACAAGGCATAACGTAATGACTGAAGTTCAGCACTCTTATCTAAGAATGCCTTCTTCAGTCCATTTCCATTAGCATGAAAGTACTGCTTAATAGTATCCAAGGCCACATCCAAGACGGCACACTGTTTAGGTGTAAGGTTCTTTTCCACTTCCTGCCAAGAAAAGAAAAAAACTTGTATTAATATAGTAATAAAAGCTTCTTTTAACAGCACAAAAGACTGTCAAAAAATATTTTATACATACATACTCTATCAAATAGAGATAGATAAATAAGTAGAGATGGTAAACAGAAATAAAAACAAGGTTGATGCCATCAATGTTCACAGCTCTACACCATCCAAAAAAAAAAGGATGAAACAGTAACACGTCTAGTCTATGGAAGAATGTCCAACATGCTGTATAATTCAGGTTCTTTACTCACCATAACACCTAATGTTGGTAGCCTGTTTACTGTCACATGGTTTCTGAATAATCTAGACATATCTTCAATTTTGGCATTTGGCAGGTTTGGCAAGATCAGCTAGGAAAAGGAAAGAGTCAAAGAGAGAAAGGCAGAGAACATGATTTAGTATAAGCATTCTAGAGAACATGATTTAGTATAAGCATTTTAGAACATGAATTTGTATAAGCACTCTAGACAACATGATTTAGTATAAGCCTTCTAGAGAATATGATTCAGTATAAGCATTCTAGAGAACATGATTTAGTATAAGCATTCTAGAGAACATGATTTAGTATAAACACTAGAGAACATGATTCAGTATAAGCATTCTAGAGAACATGATTCAGTATAAGCATTCTAGAGAACATGATTTAGTATAAGCATTCTAGAGAACATGATTTAGTACAAGCGTACTAGAGAATATAATTCAGTATAAGCATTCTTTCTCTGAACCAATCTTTAAATAGAATTTGGTAATTTAGACAAGATAAACTATGAATAAGAAAGATAAAAAAACAATGTTTTTTTGTGACCTTTCTATGTGTTATGTTTGACAAAATGAGTTTTGAAGACACACGTGGAGAATACGATTTATAACTTAATGGAGTTTACCACATCAATTTCTTGTGAAAGTATTTTAAAAGGTTTAGGTCTAACTGTTGTTTGTACCCATTTTTCTAAGTTAGCAAGATTTTAAGTGAGAGAATATATTTAGATCATATCACAAGTGCAACTCTAGCTATTCTAATGTTGAATAAAAACTTTCAGTGTTTAACAGGCTCACAGATGTTATCATGGGAGACAAAATGTGTTTAGAGATTAATGCAGCATTCAAATTTCAAGTAAAATTTGTAGTTCTGTAGGTTTTTCCATGATTAACTACTAAGTAAATACAACAGGCAGAAAAACCATCAAGCATTTAATTTTGGCACTTACAAGATCTGGTAAAACCAACTTTGGGAAGGAAAAAAAATAAAAGTAAAGATGCTAAAGAACATAATCAAATTAATTGACTTACTTTAGTTATGAATGTTAATTTTTAGATACAAGGTATTGATAATTGATAAAATTAATGAAGTTTATTTTGCAAGAACAATTAAGATATCAGTGAGCAACTAGTAGTAATGGAATAACTGTGTATTGTTAACATGTTAAACGATGCTTGAAGGATTGGATAAAACGACAAGAAATGATCCTGCTATTACTGTGCTTATGTCACTGAAGAATGTTTCATAATAAAATAAAAATTATCTCTGAAATTCTTTATATCGTCATCATTCGAACACAGTTTTACAAGCACAGTATTTCACAATTCACACTCTTGAAGTTACACTATGTTTTCAAAGAAAAATACAGCCATGTTCCATTTATTCAGATAAATATATTATGAAAAAACAACTTACATTTTTTTCTGAGATTGGTGGCAAAACGACAGTTTTTTCCATTGTATGCATTACAATTTTCCATAATTCCTGGAAATAAAATGAAGTTCTTTAAACATGTGTAGTATTACACTATCATTTGTACTGTTGTCTTTATAAGTTTACAAGCTGCATAGCTCTTTTAATTACTATACAAATTATACAATTATAACAGATTTCCTTACTAATTAAAAAAAGTAGCTTTGGAAATGTTAAAAAAGAAACATCATTAATAGCATCAGATTTATAAATATAAGCCATGCTTTCAATACAATTCTGCAATTAAACATATTCACAGATCTGATTAAATAATGCTTACAATATACTTGTATATTTTAAACATGTGAAGATCAGTCCAAACCTTGGTACATAAACACAAACCTGAGTAATATTACACTAAAAATCATATCAAAATGTTATTCTACATCTATAAATACCTGGAGATCGGCACAAACTTGAAGTAATCTTTTCAGTACATACAGTCACATATTTGAGCACTGCTACTACTATCATACTTATAAATACAGTGGCATAACACAGCTAAAGCTTGAATAGTTTTTTACCATTAACACATCGACCTAACAACAGCTACATGATGACCATTTCCAATATTATTTTGTGTACAAACGTATGTGGAATGGTAAAACACATACCTTGAGTAGCCTTTTCAGAACAGTTCGCTCACACACCTGGGCAAACATGGTTAGTTTCCCATCGAGAATGTCCATAATTGGATGAAGTATATGATCTGCTTCGGCAGTCACTTCTGACCGCTGGGCATTCTGATTCATCGCCACTTGTCCACTTCCCTTTACAGCAGCAAGCAGCCCATTTAGCTCTTGCATACTTTGTTTGATTGTAGACTCCAAACTAGAATTAAAAAACAAACAAATTAAAAACTGAGTATAACTGACTTGCAACTAATTTTCCAACATGACTTTTAGGTGTAAACCAACAGCACTATTACAGCTGTACCATAACCAGACTTTAAAATTACAGTAGTAATAAACCACATATGAAGACGCACACTAATAAACTATATAACTCTGTACTAATTAGACACACAGTTTCCACACACTGTATATTAACCAGGCTTTAAAATTACAGTAGTAATAAACCACATATGAAGACGCACACTAATAACCTTAATAACTCTGTACTAATTAGACACACAGTTACCACACACTGCATATTAACTAGACTTTAAAATTACAGTAGTAATAAACCACATATGAAGACGCACACTAATAACCTATATAACTCTGTACTAATTAGACACACAGTTACCACACACTGCATATTAACTAGACTTTAAAATTACAGTAGTAATAAACCACATATGAAAGTGCACACTAATAACCTATATAACTCTGTACTAATTAGACAGACAGTTACCACACACTGCATATTAACCAGACTTTAAAATTACAGTAGTAATAAACCACATATGAAGGTGCACACTAATAACCTATATAACTAATTAGACACACATTTACCAACACTGCATATTAACCACATTAAACAGCTTCTTGTGTAAAGTGACCACGGTTACAGTTACTTCCAGCTTTGTAGTAAAATAATGAGTTATACACAGCTACATATTAACTACAATAAACACTTTAGCTGATACTAATCAAATCTATAATTCTATTTACATACTAACCAGACTTTATTTCCTGTCCATTTGCTTATCAGAATTAGTTGTTTCTAGCTATATACTAAAAACAGTGCCAATTTAAGTTCTAACATTGAAGAGCTGAAAAAGTATCTAAAATTAATAACATACTTGTATTTTTCTAAATCTATGTAATACAAACTAGCTTCTAATTACTACAACATTAAAATAATTAACAGATTGGTAAGAAAGTTTGAAGTGTTTACTAAAATTAGACAGTCAGAAAATTAGTGCTAATAAATATATCAATACCACAATATCAGCAATTTTCCAATTTAAAAATGCCCTATATCTTACCCATTATGGTAAACAGAAAAATGTATATAAATTTATGTTGACACCACTAGATGGGGCTTTCTATTACATACTGTGAGTACACATATACATTTACTATTTTTTTTAAGTATATAACTGAACACTTTGAAGTTTGACACTTACTTTTACTGGATTAATAGTGGTTGCTGACTAATGAAGGTGTTTTTACTTCAGTAATGCAATGATTATTTGGTATTTGTAGCAGGCTAAAGCTATCAAATAAATATGACGTTTTTAGTTGTCTTTCACTCACCAGTAAAAGTCAGTGAGAAGTGGTGAACCGAATGACAGATTGGGCTTCATGTTTATTTTTAGAAGTTATCAAATATTTCATGCAATAAAATATACATTTGACACCATGTGATACAGCATTTCCAGGTTATTACTTCAGAATTATAATATAATTAATTAATAATCAATTACAGTAGTGGGTTTGTGAATGTGGTTTTAGTCTAAATTTGTAATTTAGAGTAAAATAATGGAAATAGAGTAAAAGAAATACTATATATAGAACAATTGATGGATTTTGTGTTAGGTATTCGAGGAAAAATGAAGTTAAAGCAATGATTCTCAATCCTGCTGATGTTTTTACTTATGACCATGATTAACTTTTCTTTGAATTCACATAAAAAATTCAGTAATTTTTGTATTTCCAATATTTCTTCACTTACATATATATTAACTTAGGTTAGAGTTACTTCTAGTTGTATATAAACCAGAATTACTTAATTACTGTTATGTATTAACCAAAATTAATTGCTTACAGATATATACTAACCAGAATTATTTCTTACAGATATATACTAACCAGAATTATTTCTTACAGCTACATACTAAACAGAATGAACTGTTTACAGAATTCTGTTTAGTATGTAGCTCTAAGTAATTAATTTGATTAGTATATATCTGTAAGCAATTAATTTTGGCTACTGTGTAGAACTGTTTACAGCTACACAGTAGCCAAAATTAATTGCTTACAGATACTTCATAACCAGAATTAACTGCTACATATTAACTAGGTACCAGTTACTTCTATGTATAAACTAACTAATCGGAGTTACAGTTAACTTCTGAATTGTTATATATTTATCATTACTAACGATTTGCAGTTATGCCTAAGAAGAATTAATTGCTTCCAACTATTTACACTGACTGCTAGTAGCATATACTTAACAAACCTACAGTTCAATAGCAACCAGAAGTAGTTACTTTACAACAAGATACTTTGTTACTTCCCATTTTCCAATAACAAGAACTAACTGCTTCTAGCACCACACTAACCACAGTTAGTTACTCTACGTTTATTCAAACTCAACCCAGAAGTAGTTACTTACAACTACATACTTCATTATTTCCTACGTTCTAATAACAAGAACTAACTGCTTCTAGCACCACACTAACCACAGTTAGTTAATCTACGTTTATTCAAACTCACCCCAGAAGTAGTTACTTACAACTACATACTTCGTTACTTCCCACTTTCCAATAACAAGAACTAACTGCTTCTAGCACCACACTAACCACAGTTAGTTACTCTACGTTTATTCAAACTCAACCCAGAAGTAGTTACTTACAACTACATACTTCGTTACTTCCCACATTCTAATAACAAGAACTAACTGCTTCTAGCACCACACTAACCACAGTTAGTTACTCTACGTTTATTCAAACTCAACCCAGAAGTAGTTACTTACAACTACATATTTTGTTACTTCCCACTTTCCAATAACAAGAACTGCTTCTAGCACCACACTAACCACAGTTAGTTACTCTACGGTTATTCAAACTCAACCCAGAAGTAGTTACTTACAACTAGATACTTCGTTACTTCCCACTTTCCAATAACAAGAACTAACTGCTTCTAGCACCACACTAACCACAGTTAGTTACTCTATGTTTATTCAAACTCAACCCAGAAGTAGTTACTTACAACTACATACTTCGTTACTTCCCACTTTCCAATAACAAGAACTAGCTGCTTCTAGCACCACAGTAACCACAGTTAGTTACTCTATGTTTATTCAAACTCAACCCAGAAGTAGTTACTTACAACTAGATACTTCGTTACTTCCCACGTTCTAATAACAAGAACTAACTGCTTCTAGCACCACACAACCACAGTTAGTTACTCTACGTTTATTCAAACTCAACCCAGAAGTAGTTACTTACAACTAGATACTTCGTTACTTCCCACTTTCCAATAACAAGAACTAACTGCTTCTAGCACCACACTAACCACATTTAGTTACTCTACGTTTATTCAAACTCAACCCAGAAGTAGTTACTTACAACTTGATACTTCGTTACTTCCCACATTCTAATAACAAGAACTAACTGCTTCTAGCACCACACTAACCACAGTTAGTTACTCTACGTTTATTCGAACTCAACCCAGAAGTAGTTACTTACAACTACATACTTTGTTACTTCCCACTTTCCAATAACAAGAACTGGTTCTAGCACCACACTAACCACAGTTAGTTACTCTACATTTATTCAAACTCAACAATGGGAACCTCTTATGTAGAGCATAGTGTCACAAACTCCACTAAAAAACTTTGAGGGGCCACATGTTTATTTCTGCTTACCTCAGAGTGCAATCTTTCGATTCAGAAATATTAAATACATCATGTACTAGTTTGTAAGCAAGTAGCATGCCATTCTCTTGGAAATGAGTCTTACTATTGCTGTAATAAACAATCTAATACCAATTTTCTTTCATTTGTCTAACACACAAGTAACATAAGTCACTCTAAAAGCCTCATATAATGTATTAGTTTACACTTTGAGTTTTTTTAGTGCAAAAGTACTGAAATACATTTAAGAAATAAACACATGAATGTGGTCTTGTATACGTGACACAAGTTTCCTACTGTAATATGCTTCCCTACACAAATACTTGAATGAAACGTTTTGGTTGAGTGGTACCAGAACCAGTATTTACTGAGTTAATATGTTTATTCTCCAACTAGTGGTGGGCCATATAAGATTGTCTTTGAGGTTGGATACAGCCCCTGTTTCACCAGTTGCCCATACTTGAATGAAACGTTTTGGTTGAGTGGTACCAGAACCAGTATTTACTGAGTTAATATGTCTATCCTCCAACTGGTGGTGGGCCATATCAGATTGTCTGTGAGGTTGGATACAGCCCCTGGTTCACTAGTTGCCCATCCACATGCTAGTTAGAGTTACATACACTATAAGCTATATACTAATAAAGAGTACCAACTTTCATTACATTAACTATAGTCCTTTAATTTCATATTAGTAAGACTTTTAGCGGTACACTAACTGACGGAGTAAACTATTAAAATAAAGACAAACCTGACAGCAAACACTGAGCTCAAATCATCTAGGACGGTGTTCAGTGACTGTTGGAGTTCTTTTAGAATGTTGGCAGCATCGTTCTCGAGCTGTAAGAACACCAAAAATTTATGGTTCTATTTAGTAAAGCTGTGGGATTAGATGATACTGCCCAAAGCCACAATCTCACTTACTATCATGTTTAAATCTACATATGTAACATATTTAAAAGGACTAATTAAAAGTGAAAAAACAACAACAAAGTTTGTTCTTTAGTATATTATAAAAGCATTTTATGTAAAATTTTGTATTTACAGTTGTATATTAAATACTATTTTTCACTACCAGGATTATTACATGTAGACCTGAACATACAAACATGAATTCTTCACATCATAGTTATCAGAATGAATTACCCAGTAAGAAGACGTGAGAAAACAACAAAACAGTTAAAACTGTGTCCAAAAATCAAATCAAATGTTCCTAAATAATGATAAGTCAACCTGGAAGCATATCAAACCTAACAAAAGTTTACTCCAAACGTTTTAAGTTAAATATTTTTGTTAACTGATCAAGTAGTGGTTTTAATCTTTTTATACCAACAAGAATAGGGAGAGAAAAGAGAGTGGTCACTATAAACTGACAAATCTCATATCTTTTCTTTCTATAAACTGAGAAATCTCATATCTTTTCTTTCTATAAACTGATAAATCTCTTATCTTTTCTTTCTATAAACTGATAAATCTCATATCTTTTCTTTCTATAAACTGATAAATCTCTTATCTTTTCTTTCTATAAACTGA